TTCGATTCCAGTAAAAACGTGCTAAGCTTTCGTCCGTCGTGTGACGGGCATGATCAGAACAGGGTTTCATCCTTATGAACATATTCAAGCTAACGAGGCAAGTTTTTTTGACTTATAAACGGAAAATAAAGTAATAGTTCGATTTCAAAGGAAAAGTTGGTTGGAAGGGATTCGTGATGTGGCCTTACCGGAAACCGAAGGAGGATTGCAGTCTGCTGTATTGTGCGCAGAAGTCTTCGGCTCACCGTCCTGCGACCCCGATGAAACTGTGTTAAGCTGTACTGTGATAAACATGATCAGAGCAAGAATCCATACTTTACAAAATAAAGCAAAAATATATTATACCAAGATAACGCAATCCTGGTTGCGTTTTCATATACTTAGCCACCTTTTCTATTTGTTTAATATATTTTTGCTCTATTTCGTAAAGTATGCATTTCTGTTATGATGGTGTCTATCACAGTATAGACGAAAGCTTAGCACAGTTTTATCAAGCTCGCAGGACAGTGGGCCGAGGACTTATTCGCACAACACAGCAGATTTTACTACGCAGCAATCCTCCGATTTCCGGTGAGACCAAATCACGAATTCCTTCTAAATGGAAAGTTATGTCACAACCTTTTACTTAATTTTTCGTTTACATGTAGGTTTTCGATACTACCAGTAGATCATATATATGAAATGGATTCATCCTATTTTGTATAAGGTGATAAAAGACTGTTGGTTGAATTTTTTCTGCAATGATTTTGAGTAAGTCTTAGGTTTCCATTTAATTTCCCATGGTATTGCTTCCCAAAATTTATTATCATCAGGATGGACTGCAGTTTCAACCCTGTTATTTAAGGGCACTCGTGGCAATGTTTCGTAGTGGTTAATGTGTTGAAATTATACGCTGCACTAACAGGGTTCGAGACCCGCTGGGAGTGCTGATGAGCCCTAGGCGAGGTAGAAACTGAAGTCCGCTCCCTCCTGGACGAGAATGCCTTTTAAGAAGCGAGGTTATGTGAAATTTAATGGAAACGTAAGGCCTACTCATACCATTGTGGGAAAAGTTCAACTATCAATCTTTCATCACCTTAAACGAAATAGGCTAAATACATTTCATAATTATTACTTTACTTTTAGCAATTTTTAACCTCGTAAATGGCGAACAAAATGATCGAGTCTATATTTGGGTCAAAATCTCCTTCCATTGTATATAATTAGTTTGACCTCGTTTTAGCGACTTGATAATTTTTCCTTGGGCCTTGATGAATACACCATGTCCGAAGTCCTCTGCCATAGTAATCATAATACTTTCCAATGTTGGACAGGCATCATAATCGGCATCACCAGTTAGCCCGTCGAAATGAAGTCTATATCTTGACGAACCTTCCGCTGAACAATTGTTGTATTTATCCTTTCTCTGCCATCGTACCTCCACCTATTATTTTCCTTATGTAACTTATTTAAATATCTGAAGTATGTAATAGGTGCATGTTCTCTGGGTAAATTACAGACTATAGGCTGAAGAGAGGCTCCAAAGGACAAATTTGTAACCTGTGTTGTTTTGACCTCGTTTTCGCAACTTGATTGGGAAAACAAGAAGACTTTGGGGAACATACTCTGTCATCATAGCCAGTATAATTCCCAGCATAGGACCCTTGACATGGCACATTCCCATAATTTTTGCTGCTTTCGTTTTTGGCATCATCAGTGATAGACATCAGCATTAACATCGCGCTACAACTTATCGAACTGGCATTTTGAAGCAATTCTGTTGGCTAATTTCCTCTCAAATTTTTATGCTATTTCCCCTACCCCATATTTTAACTTCTAGTACTGTCCTCATCCCTCAACCCCATTTCAAAGGGCCGATTTGGCTTTCTGCATCCCTATGTACCATCATTTGTTCAAATGTCGCCTGAGAGAAAATTGATTTTATGAAGCTTCACCACCAGTTTCAGATGCCGTTCGCAGGTCTTCTGAAAATCAATCAGCAGTTCCACTTAGACCTCTACTCTCCTAAATTTGCTGTTTTTTTGACACTGGATATTACTCTTGCTCGCTTTATTTGGATGTAATGAATCATCTCAAGCAAAATATTCGATCGTCTTGATACTATTTTATTTTTTTCCCATTTTCTCCTTTTAAATACATTTTTTATTCACTATATTAAATTTTACTTAGGGAGTAGCTTTATTATAATATATCAACCCTTAAAATCGATCATTTTGAGCAATGAAAAGAAGATATAACGTGAATTTTGACAGTTTACTGGGTACATGATTACGATGAAGATGTTAAAATCCATTTATATTCGAGGTTTCTTCATAATGATAACTTTGTGCTGAACATCTACCGAAAACAATTCAGTCTAATATTGTAAAAACAAGAGATTTCTCTGTGAAAGTTTTCTTTTAGCCTTCTGATTCTTATATTATTTAATTTTTAGGGAATGGACTATGGTGATTACGAAGATCTGATGCTCTCTTATATGATCAAAGATACACGTTGGCTTTGTCTCGGTCTCTTCATGCTTATCGGATTCCTTGTAATTGCTAGCCGCAGCTTCCTCATTCCATTGGTCTGCGCCGTTGGACTTCTCTGGTCTGCTGTAGTTAGTTACCGTATCTACGCCCTCCTCGTGGATGCAGATCGTCTTCCTCTGATCAACATGCTGGGATTCGTGCTGCTACTAGGTCTTGGTACCGACGATACTCTTGTATATTGCCAGGTGAATCTTTTGTTGAGGCATACTCTAATGGTTTGGACACGGTGATAATGGGGCTACATAAAGGTACAGGACATTTTGCATTTAGTTAGGTGCTTAAGTTAGATTAATTCAGTCATATGTGGTGGGCTGCGTGGCACGACGTTATTCCGCACCTATACTCAAATTTAGCTATCTAACTCTTTCACGGCATGCTCTAAGTCACATGAGATTGGGACCACTTACGGATACCTACGTTACAGATTCCATCTTACTATTTCAAAGCCTCTCCCTAATTTTACTAAGGTTGTTATAAACGTCATCTATTTCTCTCCTTACAATTTAGCAACATATAGAATTTCGAACGCACCTACTCATTCGCACTTTTTTCGTTCAATTGTATTTGTTTTTAATCGAAAATATGAAGACCAAGATGTTGTTGCCTTCTGTTTGGTCATGGTCTCCTTTTGTTGTATAGTATTTGTTTGATCTTGTTTTTGCAACTATGGGATCGTGTTTGTCACCTGATGTAGCAAATAATTTCACTGTGTTACTGTAATAGTTATTAAGTCTGGGATAATAAGGAGCATGCGTATTGCAAATATTAATATTTTCGTATTGGAGTAGAGTTTCGAGTCTACCAGTAAATCAGTAATATGAGATGGGAGCGTGTCAAGCTCCCATCCTGCACTGTCACGGTTCGACTCCCGCTGAGGATGTTGATAAGACCGATGCGAGGTCGAAACTGCAGTCCACCCTAAATGAGAACAACTTTTGGGAAAGCAAG